TTACTTCCATTGATAGCAGCTTTACATGTGGCTGCTGCAACTCCCCTGATTAAATCTAAACTGATTAAGTGCCTTGTAATCTAATTGATTGACTGATGAATTAAAATGTATGTTATGGAAATATTTTACACTCTGCACCTTATTTAGAAAATACCAAGCCAGAGCAACGCTTAAAGTACAGGTAAACCCAATCACTAGAATCTCATATAGACCTGAGTATGTTAATGTTTAAATCTGCAGCTTCAATATAAAATATTACCTGGTGATGCTGCCATGATGGTCCTTGTTCAGTCATGTCCTGTTATAGCACGGGTGGGTAACTCCTGTCCTCCATTTAACTACAAATCCCAACATGCCTTTGGGAGTCATGCCAAAGCTTCATGGGATTGTAGTTCCACAACAGCTTGAGGGCAGAGTTGCTCACCTCTGTGTTATGTTAGAAACGTAGATGTTCCTGTCTTCTATCTGTGTTTCTATGTTGTCACTGGAGCTTCCGAAAGAGAATCCACACACCCGCTCCCAGTGCATTCTGTGCAGGGCTCAGCTGTTTGTTCTGTCGCCAAGTTCTACTCTGTGTCTTTGGAGCATTGACAACAGTTGTTGTATGAAGGAAGCACACATAGAGTATTTGCAGGCTTTATTCATAAATACATTGGAATTACATTGTTACAATGTATTTGGTTAGTTCTTATGTACAGATTAAAGACTTGTCTTTTAATCTGTACATAATGTCAGTTCCACCAAACCTGCAACTGTTATTTTCTTAATAAAACGATTACCATTAAACCTTTTTAGTTAACATTAATTAGTCCTTGGTCGCTCCTTTCTCCCCTAGATTTTTTTGCATTTTTGTTCATTCATTTATTAGCTGCCATGCAACGTGAAGAGTCAATAGCTACAGACCTCCAAACTTCTCTGGAGTGACGCTTCCGTATCTGGTAATCCGATGGACGTGTCTGGGTTTGGCGGTTGCCAGGAGAACGGTACTTGCTTGACTGCATTGTGCCAAGTGTAAAGTTTGGTGGAGGGGGGATTATGGTGTGGGGTTGTTTTTCAGGGGTTGGGCTTGGCCCCTAAGTTCCAGTGAAGGGAATTCTTAAGGCATCAGCATACCAAGACATTTTGGACAATTTCATGCTCCCAACTTTGTGGGAACAGTTTGGGGATGGCCCCTTCCTGTTCCAACATGACTGCGTACTAGTGCACAAAGCAATGTCTATAAAGACATGGATGAGTGAGTTTGGGGGGGAGGAACTTGAGTGGCCTGCACAGAGTCCTGACCTCAACCCGATAGAACACCTTTGGGATGAAGTAGAGCGGATACTGCGAGCCCGGCCTTTTCGTCCAACATCAGTACCTGACCAATGGTCCAACATTCCCATAGACATACTCCTAAACCTTGTGGACGCCTTCCCAGAAGAGTTGAATCTGTTATAGCTGCAAAGGGAGGGCCAACTCAATATTGAATCCTACGGACTAAGACTGGGATGCCATTAAAATTCATGTGCGTGTAAAGGCAGGCGTCCCAATACTTTTGGCAATATCGTGTAAGTCAGCGTGCAATCTACTTAATTGTTCAATGTGGCATTACCACCCTACAAGGCTCCCAGACTTTATTGTACTTTAGCAGTGTTCCCAGAAAATAAGTATGATCTAGAAGGTTCAGTTGGGGAGTGTCAGGGAAGGCCTACAGACATTTTATCTTAAACGACCAGGCCGAGCAAACGGTCTCTGAAATATGTAAGAGCCTTAAGTCAAATACTAATTCCCTAAGCAGCAAATCTGGAGAGAAAACTATTTAAAAAATCCATGCCTCACTATGGGCTACATAGCACAGCTGGGGACTCCCAAAGGGTTAAAAAAGAATTCACTTTGCTCCGGGGAATTCTGTAAGCTCTGCAGAGAAGCATTAATTGGACAAGCAAAGTGTCAAAATGCTCTAGTGGGACACAATAGTAACAATCATGCCAAGGGTTATGTATGGCAGCCAAGGAGCTGAAGGTCATACTGTAGAAGAGCCTTCATAGCAACGGCAGCTGAGATTTAAATTGTTATTCAAGAGAGAACTAATACAGGCCCCAACGTAAGGGCATTGTCCCTTAGTCATCAAGATTCCGCTCTTAAAGAGGCCATCCACGGTGTGAGAAGTGCTTATCTCCCCTAAGAATTTCCAATGAGGGCGTGTGTCACTGTATGGTGTAATTACATCAATGTCAAATGTCCTTCATTCGCGAGGACAGACCCAGGTTCCACAGAGATGTCCCTGCAAATCTGGATTTAAAACACTGATTGATCAAATCTGTTTTTTTTTTTGTGGTATTACATTTATAAATATAGAAAAGAGCAATCAGTTTTCGGTGAAAGCGAATAGGTACTACTGGGTTAGACGTATCGCTGTGAGGATTTCATGCAGATACTTTCGGCATCAGTAAGCCAAGACAATGGCACGTGCCCATTTAGGGCAAAATGAACATGTATATGTAAAGGCCACCCCTGACCACTTTATACTCTCCCACTTTCAAAAATACCATCATGTGGCAGTGCTGAGGTCTAGAGGTTGACCAATGCAATATGGGAGGAAGTCACCCTCCCCCTGTGCTCCCCCATACATGTAAGGCAGGCATTTTGTAATGGTGGCCACAGAGGAAGAAGTGCTAGAGAGGTGACTATAAAGTGGTCATTGGCACAAAAATGGGCATGGTGGCAGTGCTTATTTAAGGAGAAAAGGATAGAGTGAAGGGGTTAGGACACAGAGTCATTCCAGGCAAATAGCTATATACATGGCTGCAATACATAGAGGTTTACTGTTTTACCTTTCAAATAATTTGAAACCCATATTACAAAGAGTAGCATGGAGGCACAGAGATGAGAGAGGTGCAGAACGTCACACCAATAATTACTTAAATTCCCCACTTCACTTTCATACTCTTCTTAAGGGATGGGCAAACTCCGGCCCACCAGCTGGTGCGGAACTACAAATGTCATGCGGCATTGCAAGATTCCCACAGCCACAAGCATGACTCCCAGAGTTAGATGCATAGTGAAATTTGTAGTTTCACCACAGCTGGAGGGTCAGAGTTTGCCCAGCCCTGCTCTACTTTAATGACCAACTCTACTTTTATACACAGCCTGGAAGTGAGCAGACTGTCTTGCCAACACAGCCTGATCACTTCCCTGTGATCAGACAGAGCGGAAGCAGCAATAAACTGATGGGGGAATCTCTCTGCTCAACTTCTGTCAGCAAGTTCCTTGTCACCACAATTGAAAGCTGGATACCTGATTGGTCTCCCTCTCCCCATCTGAGTGCTGCTGTACAGGGAGGACACTGAAAGCAAATCAATTTGAAATTCATATCTGCTAGTTGCACGTTAAGGGCTCATTCACACGAGAAAAGTCCGGCACGTACAGCTCTGTGCTGTGTGCACGGCCGTAACGGGCAGCTCCCGGGAAGGACAGGTGCTGTGTGTGATTAGTACGCAGCCCCTGTCCTTCTCTATGGTAGTCCGTGGCCATACGCTCACCCCAAGTGCAGGTCCGTACGGGTGCGGGGGTCCCGGCTCGGACGCAGACAGGATCCATCCCGTCAGCGTACGAGTACAGACACCTGCACGGACGTGCAGGGCGGGTGAGCATAGGGCGGCGTACGGCCGTGTACTCCCATAAAGAAGGACAGGGGCTGCGTACTAATCACAAGCAGCACCTGTCCTTCCCGGGAGCTGCCCGATACGGCTGTGCATGCAGCACAGAGCTGTACGTGCCGGACTTTTCTTGTGTGAATGAGGTCTAAATGCATTTTGTATGTAAATAAATGACTCCATTCACTGGAGTCCAGCTTTGAGATTTAAGAGTTAAATGCTAATGAGGAATACACCTTTCACCTGAGATAAATCCCCCTACAGTGCATACACACTATGCTGAGAACCACTGCAGAAAATCCCAAAGCTGCTGGGTAAGATTTCCTGTGTCTAGATCATGGGGCAGGAGATGGAGGAGATGCACTTGTTTAAAACAAATGTAAAACCCAACAGAAAGAATGAGACCCCCTCGTGACTATGGAAGTTGGACGGAGCTGAGAACTCAAATGCAGAGGTCTTTACACCAAACTAGCCAACAGTGATAAGAAGTCAGTGCTTGATTCCACCAGCCAGCATTGGTTCTGGGTGCAATAGTAGGTAGGTTATGTAATACACTAAGACAGGTCAACTTTTAGTCACCCATATAAGCATACAATTCAGTATAAACAAATCTTGGCCATAAAAACTACTAACCAAACAAATCCAAAAAACGCACAGTAACAAAATGTTTTATTTGAAGCACTGCATACAAAAGGAGCACACCGGCAATTTCATAGTGCAAAATCTGGTAAAAATATATATAAATATAATTTGTACAATATAAAAACTATACAATTATTTCAAAGATCACACCTTAGTGAAAACACACATTGTGCATAAATATATATATAAAGTGTGAACTGCAACCTAAAGTATCACAAAGCCAAATAAGTACAAACTTACATTCAATAGAAAGGCTGCTTGAATTTTCTCTATATTGAGATAACATGGCATCTTGGACACCCAGTTACATGACTGATTCTAAAGCACACTGAATCTTTTTTTGTGATATTTAAAAACACAATTCCACAAATTTAGGATAGAGCCCCGATAAAGCAGATGCAGGTCCTTGAAATGCACCGGCTTGTTTTCTTTAAATACATTGCCTAGAGTCAATGTTGTACCTTCTAAACCTTCAACATAAGAAATGAATGGCCCTTGAATTGTAGAATGGTGCTCTCTTTTTAATAATTCTCCTGTACTGAGTCACACCATGGCACATAGTGTGTCACCAGAACAGGAAGTGCGGATAAATCTACCCAGTAATATATAAAGTAGACTGCAGTCTACTGCACACTGTATCCCAAAAAAGATAACATTTTGGCTGGAGCTGCCCAAGAAAAAAAACAATGATGGGCACATAATATTATATATCAGTCAAAACCTTCAAAGGGATTTCTTTGTTTGTTCGTAAATGACCTTGACGCAGAAAGTCTCCTCATTTTTTTCTTCATGGTCGTTGATAAATATGAGAATTTCTTCCAACCCGCTGCTGTCGCTGGGTGCAAAGCGCAGTCCAATGGTGTAGGTTTCCCCGCCTCCCACCTGAAAAAAATATAATCTTATGAAACAAAAAGCCTTTGCTATAAATTATATTGGTTCTTTTCTGTTTCCTCCCCCCCCCATCCTAAAGATACATTCAAGTACCCGAACTAGTAACAGAAATGTATCTTATTTGTGTATCACTCGGCTGTAGATCCTCAAATCATCTCTGAATTGGCGCTGACACTGTCCTTCCTTCTGGAGGGTGGCTACTTTTGTCCCCCATGGTCCCTGTGTGTGTTGTAAAGCAGCCACCAAGCTCCAAGCTCCCTCCCAGGATGGACTACAATCTCATGTTTAGTATACTAATTTGTATTAGGATTGTAGTCCATCTTATGTTGCCAGCCTGTCATATGTACCGCCAGTGGACTACAAGCAACCAAACCATAACACATTGTGCAGACATGGTCACTACGGAACAAGGTATAAGGTAACATTAAAAACCCATCATCAAGCGAACAATAAAACTTGCCTTGTAATAGGGCTACCCAAAGTTAAGTGCTGGTTTTTGTCTAGGGACCGGAGTAAAGCATTTTACTTACCTGATCCCCAGTCCCCCGACGGTCAGTGCTCTTCTCTTCTCCCCTTTGGCTGGTGGATTGTCCATTGGTGTCCTTATAGGAACCTGCATTAGACGTGATGACGTCAGTGCTCCTTAGACCATTGGAGCCCAGGGGTGAAGAGGTTGCGGGGACCAATCTAGTAGCCCCGGGGAAGCCAAGGGAGTGGGGATCAGGTAAGTAAATCTGCTTTACTCCGGCCTCTAGACGAAAATGAGCACTTAACCCTTGCAGTGCAGGGGTAGTCCCACTTAAAGGGTACCTTTTTTTATTTGCCCAGAGAAGGGCTTTACCCGAGTCACAGCCGCTCAGGAGCTTCCTGGATGTAACAGGCCGTCAAAAGACATCCTGTGGGCCACGCCCACTCGCACGCAAGCGGGAAACTGCCCAATTTTAGACAGCGATGCCTGTTGACATACAAGCAATCCGCCGGCTATAGAGCCGGCGGATTGCTTGTATAAGGTGCCGATCGATGTGCCCCGCCCCCCCTCCCCTCCCCGCGCAGGAACCTGCATTAGACGTGATGACGTCAGTGCTCCTTAGACCATTGGAGCCCAGGGGTGAAGAGGTTGCGGGGACCAATCTAGTAGCCCCGGGGAAGCCAAGGGAGTGGGGATCAGGTAAGTAAATCTGCTTTACTCCGGCCTCTAGACGAAAATGAGCACTTAACCCTTGCAGTGCAGGGGTAGTCCCACTTAAAGGGTACCTTTTTTTATTTGCCCAGAGAAGGGCTTTACCCGAGTCACAGCCGCTCAGGAGCTTCCTGGATGTAACAGGCCGTCAAAAGACATCCTGTGGGCCACGCCCACTCGCGCGCAAGCGGGAAACTCCCCAATTTTAGACAGCGATGCCTGTTGACATACAAGCAGGATTGCTTGTATAAGGTGCCGATCGATGTGCACCGCCCCCCCCCTCCACTGGTCCCGAGCCCTGCTGTGCCTGGTGCGAGCCCGGGACCAGCATGGTGGTTCTGTGACAGGGGATCAGAGGGAGATCGGTACACGATCTCCCTCCGGTCCCCTCTCAGAATGCGAAAGTGAAGTATATTACATCACTTCCGCATTCTTGTGTCACTCTCCAGCTTCAGAAGCTGCAGAGAAGCTGATGAAGCAGATCTCTGCTTCATCAGCTTCTTTGGGGGTCCCTAGGTGACATTAAGTGTCTTAGAGAAATTAATTTCAGTACAGTGTTGCATGACGGAATAAATGAATACTGAAAAATGGCCTGGCCAGGAAGGGGGTGCAAACACCTGGTCAGCAAGTGGTTAAAGTTTATCTATGTACCCCTAGACTCAATGAGCATTTAACCCTTGCAGTGTGGGGAAAAGACAGCATTGCAATCCATGGGGGAAAACATGGCAACTGTGCTTTAGCAAACAACGCCATCCAGTTAAGTTCAGATTTCCATCAACATCAACTTTAACTGCAACAATATCTCCCTGAAATGCTGCTACACGTTCCCTGTACTGGTTACACATTTTGGCTTAATCAGTCCTCAGTCATAACATTATCCTAAATAATGATCGTTATTATTATGGCTCCCGGTGATTTGAAAGCAGGCCAGATAACAAATTATTCTGGTCTTCTGGTTCAGGAGATCAGCTAATTTACTTATCAGCAAAACCTGCTCCCGGCTGCAAAAACCAAGACGCTTACATTTGGGTACGGCTCCGGAATTTTCTTAAAACCGCGATAAATGTGATATAGCTTTTATAAGGAATTTGATCTCGGGGAACTTGTAAACTCTTGAAAATCACCAGCATGCGGCTTTTATAATAAATGTATATGGCTTGATGTACCAGGCATGCAAAGACTCTTGATTTAAGTACTTTCAAAGCGACTTCCTGTGAACTTTCATTAGCTGACGCTTCTGCGCTCATCGGAAGAACTCGCTGTACAAGTGTTAGTAGCAAAAAGAGGCGACCTTCTGTACTGTGCAATTAGAATGACTTAATTAAGTTGTGTAGATGGAATATGGAGGCAGAGAAGGTGTATGGTATAGGAAGCCATTTGTTCTGTCATTGTCAGTGCAGGCAAGTGCGTGTAATTCTGCTGAATCATTTGGGACTTATTTATAACAGGCTGGATAAATGAATCTTGTTGCTTCAGAGGGATGTTTCACATTATTTTTATGGTTCATAAAGAACCTGTCACGAATGTACATTCATCTAAAGCCCTATTCAAGTCATAGGTTGTCCAAATTTTCCTAGTCCTACCTGCACTTTTCTGTTACAGCAGTTGTGCGGGGAGTTTAAATATGACTATGTAGTCCAACAGGCACCATTAATTCACACACACCTGGGCAGACACGCCCCTTTCTTCTTCTCTGCAATGCAGGTCTGTGTGGGGGTGTGGCTGTTACTCAGCTCTGCAAGCACAGAGCACTGGAGTGTGTTGGCAGGAAGCAACATTTTAACTGAGAGAAAGGGATATTTTAAGGCATTTACTAACAAGAAATGGATCATAACTGGCAGGGGTAGGGGACTTTAAAGAGATAAAAGGTGTATGATTTCAATTGGGCTTTAAAATATGTTTGCAAAAAGTATTGTACATAATAAGTCTTACTTCAAGTCTCTGACAGTTAGTACATGTGGAACTATTCTAAATTAAACATAAGTGTGTGTGTCTTAAAGGAGAACTATGGGGTTAAGTCTTCTCCCTATAGTTCTCCTTAGGGTAACGGGAGGACACAAACTAGTGTCCTCCCGTCACCCTAGGCTCAGTATACCGCAAGCTGTTGACGCCACGAGCTGAGACGCCGCAGTATACCGCAAGCTGCTGCTCGCGGTATACTGAGACGCCGCAGCTGAAGCGGATCCCGACAATTGTGCTGGGATCCGCCCACCTGCGTGAATGACAGCTGGCTCTGCCTATCTAGAGGACCTGTCACGGCAGAGAGCCGTGACAGGATCGAGAGGTGAGCGAACGACGGTATGTGTTCGCTCACCTCCCGATCTACTGAGCCGACCTGTGACAGTCTCATTGTCACAGGTCGGCTAGAACTATGATGTGAGTGAAAAGCACTCGCCTCATTGTTCTCCTTTAATCCAAAAATGATGTCTTATAACCAATACTGGAGCACATAGCACCGACACCCAACCAGCCTTGAAGAAGGTGAGTGCCAAACCCCCGGAAAGCATTAGAAGTATCCTCACCTGATTATAAATACAAGATTGGACATTTAAACGGAAGCCTCTTTGTTTATGGTGACCCTCATCCACTTCACACTGATTTTACACTGCTAAAGGACCAGCATTCAGTTCTCCTCCAGGAAATGGGGGGCGGTACCTTTACAGTGATGGGGTGGCTGTACAGCTGCCAAGGTCACTTTTACTAGATACCTGGGAGCCGGCTGAACAAAATGATGCTGCAGCCATGAGTTTGTTTTAACTAGATTTAGGACGTACATAGACTTCTTCTAGACGTAAAGTGGTTAAAAAGGACCTATAGTTGAATGTTAACATAAAGCTATTGGTCCTTAGGAATAATGCTGCTCCAGGCTCCCTTCAGTTATGTCTACATGTCTAAAGATCAGAGCTGAATCTCCCTTTTACCAGGGATCATGGGACCAAATGCCTAGGCCTTGAAACCTTTGACCAACACTGAAGGGAGCTTGAAGAAACAACAGGTAGCTATTTTAGACGTCTTATTATTTCCAATCCACTTATTAGTTTACCCCAGAAAGGCTTCTAGCATTGCTTCATGTAAATTTTTGATTTAAAGGTCCAAAGTGAAGCTGCGATTTGCCTATAAAAGGGCAGGGCAATAAGTTCACTTTAATGTGGATATCCCCAGCAGCATACGTTTATCTTCTTTATGTTTGCTTTCCAATCTGCACAGCTTCCAGGCACCAAAGAAAAGCCCGGTGTGAACTACAAGTCGGCAGAGTCGTAGCATACACAGGGCTATGGACTCTCCATGTGAAAGAGCTAATTGTTCTCACATGCTCCTCCATACCCAGCTGTACCGGGTTGTTTCTTTGGCTCCTGGCACTAAACAGAGTGGCAGGGTAGTGAAAGAAAGGTAGTATACACTGCTGGAGAGGGCAGCATTGAAGCAAATCTGTTGTTTGCCCTGAAGTGACAAAGCACGTTTATGCTTTAAAGCCTAAGTCCTGGCAGTTATAAAATCAGTAAATATGCAGCTGATAAAGTATCCAATGAGCTTTGTTTCCCCTCTAATAGTGCACTAAAACAAAAGCAATACTTACCATAAGACAGGGTCCCACGCTCTTCCTCCCCACTGTTTCCAGTTGCAATGCCCGGTATTTGGAAGATGCTGGTCTCCAACCGGTCTTGTCACCACCCCTCTCATCATTTTCATTAAGGATGCACCGATACCGATACTAGTCATTACTAGTATCGATACCGATAACGACGCGCTGCCCGGCTTCCTGATTGGTCGGAAGCTGGCCAATCAGGAAGCCAGGCGCAGTGTAATGACGCAGTGCCCTGCTTTCTGATTTGTCGGGAAGCCGGCTTCATGCTCCCTCGTCACCTCATGATGCAGCGCCCTGCTTTCTGATTGGCCAGAAAGCCGGCTCCATGCTTTCACGTCAGCTAGTGACAAGAAGCATGGGGCGGGCATCCCTAATTTTCATCAAATACAAGGCAGGACATCAAGCAGTGCTGATCCAGCATTGTATGTGATGAGGTAGGAGTTCCTCTCTGTCTTAACTTATCCCCTAGGAAAAAAAGCAATATATAATTTATCAGCTACATACGGTATCCTTAATGATTATGTTGCTGCTCAGAGGTCAACTTTAAGAGCAAGGCACTTGCCCCCTTGTGTCTTGCTCTTAAAGTTGACCTCTGTTTGGGCAGTATCCCTGTTGAAAGTAGTACAAAGACATGCTGGTAGGTTAATTGGCTTCTGTCTAAATCAACCTTGCATGTATGCGAGATAGGGATCTTAGATTGTAAGCTCCTTGAAGGCAGGGACTGATGTGAATGTGTAAAGTGCTGCATAAATTGTCAGTGCTATATAAATACCAACAATAATAATAATAATAGTAGTAATAATAAATACTATAGTGATGCTCAACCTGCTTGAACACTCCATGTGTTCCTTCATCATGGCCATAGCAGAAGGATGGAGGCAGGACCTCCAACCAGCAGATGCCAAAGCTAAAGGCCTGGAAACAAGTCAATCCCATGCAAGTTAACACACCTAGTTCCCCGAAACTCTGAATTTGCGGAGTAGGGTTGAATCAACATTTAAAATATAAGCAAGAACAAGCTAAAGAAGAGCTCTTACCTCAAAGGAGTCTTCCTTAAACTGCAGTAGGTCCGCTCTGTTTGTTTGGAGGGTGTACCTCTTCTTTACTTGATAGGGGTTTGTATATGTGATCCTTTTGTTGCAGCCCTTGTCTCCAGAGGGAATCATAATTTCAAAGGCCTTTGAAAACATAAAATGTTTTTGTTGTTGTTTTAATGTCTACTTTTATACTATAATTAGAAAAAAAAGCCATCTTAGTCTCCCTCCAGTACTACTTACACCACCAAAAGCCTAGGCATTTGATAACATCTCTGTTAAAAGGAAAGTTCAGCCATTGTGAAGTCAAACCTTCGCCTTCTACACAAATCACATGTCTAGTCAGTAGGAGCCCAGAGCAGCATTTTCTCCTTTATTCATACATCTCAGAAACTCATTTACATAGCTTTATCTTAACATCTGAGTACGGGTCAGATTTAATGAGACGCTGTGACCAGTGCGCAAAAGTAGCAGGAACGCGGTCGAAATTCCACGTAGCGACTATGAGCGCTCTCCAGCTCGTTAATCCATTTCCATTAGAGGTGCCGGATTCAGCTCGCACAGCACTTTCAGAAACAAATTACAGGAAAGCTTTAATATTTTCAGATTGTAATGTTTCATTGCAGCTCCCCTAGGAATGAATGCTAGACATACTAATTCAAATTGTTTTAACAATGAACAGCCGAGCAAAATTATACATGTCAGCTTGTAATAATCCCTTTTCAGTGAGAGCGCTCCAGCAATTTATCATAATGCAAAATAATCACTGTATATTTAAGGGGAATAGAAGAACTGGATAGACTGCGCAACACTATCAGGTCAGTAATTATCGGTTAGGTAAATTGGGCTGCTGTCTGGTCCACGGGCAACAGGAATAAAAAAAAAGGGTTTTTGTACTCACAGTAAAATCCTTTTCACTGTGTTCATTTAAGGACACAGCAAAGATCTTTACTTGACCGTTGGGTTATAGCACCATCTTCAGGAGAAAGAAACTAGGCATAAAACAGAAGCACAATCTAGGGGCAGCCCCTGATGGCCAAACCCTTCATCTGCTAGAGTCAGCTCAGCTAGCCACACATCAGTACATAGAGAAAACCTGGTCACTGTCAGGGGAGTATGGCTGGGCCGTGAGTGGAACCACTTGGCTGGGGCGACAAGGCAAAATCCGAGGTCGAGGTACAAAAGGGGAAATCCCAGAAGAGTAGTCAGGTCCAACCCGGGTTGAGGCAGGCAGCTAGGTTCAGAAACGTAAGGGCAGGCCAAAGGGTCGGTAGTCGGGAGTTCATGCAAAGGGTCAGCAAGCGAGACAGGTACAAGGCACAGGGGGCTGGGAGATCACAACATAGAGGTAGAATAACTCAGCAACAAGCCAGGGATCTGACTGGAATATAATACCCAGGGAAACCTAGGACCACCCCCTGGTTACTGAGCCGACCAGGAAGCTTCACCATCCAGGAGCCAATAGCAGGGACGAAGGGGTGGATGGTGTGTGCTGGGATCTTCCCCCAGCCTGGCTAACACCTGAAGATGCTAAGTGGGCGATTGCGCGCCCAAGACCTTGGCGCCAGGGGTCCTGCCAGGAGGGAGGAGAACCCGTGCCCTGCGTTGCCGCTGTCGAACCCCGGTAAGGAGCGGCATCCCCGGTTCCCTGACAGTCACAGACAAAACAACTAAATGGGAGGGTGCTGTGTCCTTCAATGAACGCAGAGAAAAGGATTGTATGGTGAGTACAATAATCTGTTCATTGAAGTACTTGAATTTGTCGCAGCTGGACCTACACACAAGGCAAGTAATTGCATGCAAGCATAGGCTGGGACTACAAGGATCTATATTATTCTGCCTGTTGAACAGCTCAACAATTGATTTAAGGTCTTGAAGACTGAAGAAAAACTAAAAAGAAGAATTCCCTGCAAAAAAGAAACAGGATCTAAGATTCCCAGCCAGAACTCCACGACATTAGACGATAAACTGAGCTTCCACCATCAGGGAACACCCCTAGGTTATGCTTTTGTTTTTTGCCTGATTTCCTATTCCTAAAGATGTCGCTATAAGCCTATGGTCAAAATGCCTATGTGATCATAATATTAGGTTCTCTTCAAAGTTAATCAATTGTATAAATGTTCTTTAAAGTAAATGTAAACCCAATCAGGAACATCTCACATATGATATTAAAGGGTAAGGTATTGGGAGAGGAAAATGTAACTAGACCTGGTGGGGGACATTGTAGTGGACACACTCTGCCTCTATAGATCGAAAACTGATTCATTGTGTAACTGCTGATTAGCCAGCTCACAGTCTTCTCCCCTGCATAGAGCAATGACTGTCAGTTACCGCCCCTGCAGGTATCCTCCCCTCCCCTGGTGCTCATTGGAGGAACAGACAGGGGAGGGTCAGGCATAGCTGGCTCTGACTCTATTGAGGCAGAGCCAGCTGTCAATCAGGCAACGGGGTGGATCCTGACAATATAAACAAATAATAATACTTGGTAATGTTGCCATAAAAGTCCTTGTTTAGGTAATTCCTGTTGTAGAGTGATAACGCTCTGTGCCTGTCTGCCAGCTGAACTCGATGGGTATAGGTTGAACTCGATGGACTTGTGTAACATGGGCCCCCAATGAAGACTACAAGTGGCTGTTTCAGCACAAATGAAACAGTCATTGTCTACTGTTATCAGTAGAAATACTATGTAGCCATCACTGGATCACTGTAGTGTGTGTACACAGGAAGTGGCAGTACCACTGCGATGAAACAAAGGATAAAAAAAGGTTAAAAACAAATATTTTAATTTAAAGTGACAATCCCCCCCCCACACACAATGGACTTACCTTAAATGATGCCTCTTGATCTCATCTTCTTCTCAGTAGTTTTCAGCAATCCCTCCAGGGCTGGTGCCGGTCTCCGATCCAGAGCTGACTCCTCTGGTCCCACGGTGTCTGTCCGACGTGCACGCTCCCGGCTGCATGCATTGAGCTCCACTGTGTCTCTCTTCTTCCCGCCTTAGATGTCTACTGCGCATGCGCCCGCCCCTTCATCTTGCAGGGCCGCTCGAGAATTTTCAGATCCTAGGGCGGGAGCGAGTGGCGGAGACACAGGTAAGTAATTACCTTTTTGGTAATTTTTTAAATGTTGTTATGATGTGTTTGCATATATCTAGCACTATCTATCTACTTGCTAGCAGTAGATATATGTTAAAACTAGGGATGTCCCGATACCGATGCTAGCATCGGAATCGGGCCCGATACAGGGCATTTTGACAAGTACTTGTACTTGTCAAAATGCCCCGAAGCCTAGCGCCGAAGCTTGCGCTATGTTTTTTTTTTTTTCTTCTTACTTACCTCGCCGAGCATCGCGTCACTGCTGCTCCGGTGGGCGGCGCTCCGAGCGGGGTCATCTGGCAGTCTCCGGGTCCTAATTTAGGTGGCTGGAGACTGCCAGATGACCCCGCTCGGAGCGCCGCCCACCGGAGCAGCAGTGACGTGACGCTCGGCGAGGTAAGTAAGAAGAAGGCAGTGGCCTGTACTATGTAGCCCTGTACTATGGATCATTTAACCCATTTATGTCAGCAGAGGATAATTGTAAATGTATTGTTGCAGGCACTCTATATGTACATGTACTATATACTACATATAGAATGCACTGAACAATAGATTTACAATTATCCTCTGCTAATATGAATGGGTTAAATGATCCATAGTACATGATATGTAGCCCTGTACTACGGATCATTTAACCCATTCATGTTAGCAGTGGAGAATTGTATATCTATATGTACTGTACATATACAGCACAAATGTCCCGTACATTGCAGCATTAGATTTACAATAATCCCCTGCTAACATGAATAGGTTAAATGATCCGTAGTACAACTACATGTTATGTACTATTATGTACTATGGATCATCATTTAACCTATTCATGTTAGCAGGGGATAATTGTAATTTTATTACTGCAGTGTACAGGACGTGTGTGCTGTATATGTATTATGGATCATGATTTAACCTATTCATGTTAGCAGGGCAGAATTGTGAGCGCCTCCCACAAGCTGAGCACCGAGATGCGATGAAGCGATCCTGCCCAGCGCCGACTACAAGAGGCATCGCGTGAGGCTACGGGGATCGGAGTGAAACTGTGAGTAAGGGAAGCTGGGATGGGGCTGGCTGTAAATCTATTGCCATAGTCTACTGGACGTGTGTACTGTATATGTAGTGCATATATACAGCACACACCTCCACTACACTCCAGCAATAGAGTTACAATTCTCCACTGCTAACACGAATAGGTTAAATCATGATCCATAATACAGAACATGTAGTTGTACTATGGATCATTTAAAGTCACCTGTCCCTTTAAGAAAAAGTATCGCTAATTGGTATAGGCAAGTACATGAGGGGATGTACTTGTACTTGGGCCTGAAAAAGTGGCATCGGGACATCCCTAGTTAAAACAAATGTGACTTTAATACTACTTTAAAAAAATGGCAACTGTTTATATTACCCAGTTATTTAGAAAAGGAAATGTCATTCAGTCAGGATTTACATGTACTTTAAATAATCTTAACATGGAAATATTTGTGCCTTTTAGAAACATTATGCAAGCAGCATTCACCTTTCATTTTCCTACTGTGCAACATTATCAGCATATTACAAATAAACAAGTATCGGGCCCAACCTTTCCCATTGCGTTTAGTGTTCTGTACTCAATTACAATCTTTAATTTTGCTGTCGGAACATTATGACTCTTATAAAGGCCACAAGTACATTTAAGGTCTCCGAGTCTGATGGTTTTAATAAACCGGCGAAGATTAAAAACTCAGAGGGTACCCATGAAAATTAATGGCTGCCCATTAAGAGCTCATTAAACACTGTCTGGAAAGCAAAGTAAGTTTTCCATGCAAACTTTGGAAACTTTGTACGACGGCCCATTAGAGGGCAGTAAAGCCGGAATGAAACCTGTATGATAGATGGCGATTGGAACGGTTCATTTTATCTGGGTAGATGTAGGTCACTAATGTCCTATAACAACACAGACAATTATGTTCTTGTAGATTAACAATGCATTTCAGCTGCCGACATGCTACACAGAGCCTCCCCTGATGAACAGGAAGTGGCTGGTGTATAATGGTTCGTATATCACATATATAACTGCTACAAAATACATTTTGTAATTAAAGCTCAGCTCTGGATGAATCTTTTTTATTTGGACAGTGCAGGGACAGGTGAGAACCTTTGTAATGTTTTCATTGCAGTCTGCATCTCCACTGGGGTGATTTTCTTGCACTTTCTGTCCCTGTGACAGACATCCCAACTCTCCCGGACGTTACGGGAGTCTCCCGCTATTAGATAGCGGCTCCAGGTGCCCGGGAGAGAAATATTTTCTCCCAGAAAGGTTTACTCTGCTCTATCACGAGAATAACAACCAATGAAAACAAAAAGTTATTTGGATCAAATTGAAAAGGGATGAAACCCATTGCTTACCTTGGAAATAACGGGATTCCGGCTAACTACACAGACTAACCAGGAGGCTACAAGCTGATGTTGGTCCACGTCTACTAGGTTGAGGTAGATGAATCTGCTGCCAGCTTTGTTTGGCCGCACTGCGATGTGAAGGTCTTGGATGCCGTTCGGTGGAAGCACAAACACATCTTCCGGATCCACCTATATACGATACAAAGCGTTGAAAACTGAATTGCAGGTAGATTAAAGAACTCCGGGTTGACATTTGTTCACTTCAAGGGTTAACAGTTCGTTTTTGTCTAAAGTAGAAAAAAAAAAAGAAGTGATACTCACCCGAGTTTCTAAACTGTCTGGCTCTAAGACGGGTCCTTTGAGCGTCTCTCCTCCGCTGCAGCAGTCTAGGAGTCCTCAAGCCATCACATCTAATACAGTGTATTGGACGTGCGAATGCGAGGGACATACATCCTTGCAGCGGAGGAGAAGACAGGCTGGAGGGAGCACTGGAGACTGAGGTTCGGGTGAGTATAACTTTTTTTTTTTTTACCCTAGACAAAAACGAGCATTTGCAAGGGTTAATAAAAAAAATACCCCCGCAGTGCAAGGGTTAATAAAATTTCTCCCCAGAGTTCCAATTTATAAAATACACCATTCCTTGCATTTAAAGTAGGAGGAAAGACAAGACAGTACTCCATGTTTTAAAGGTCGCCTCCCCATTGCTTTTATATTTCCTGCAGAGTTTATAATAGAACACAATGGACATTTTTCAAGCGGTCATGTGACTGGCGAGTGTGTCTATGTGCGGCTGGTGGGCTTGCTTTCTTTGAGGTTCAACAACAACGCCGGACGCCGGTGGGATAACATCACTTCTAAAATGATTCAACGGCATTGTCGGTCCTCTACAGAGAAACACACTCCCTGAGCTTCGCATTCACATGACATTCACCCTTGGATAAAGTTCAAAGGGTATTTTCACTAAGTACCTCGGCTTATATTCGGGACGGCTTATACTCGAGTATATACGGTATACAATAAAATGTAATTTTACATTCAACTTATGTGATCAGCAATACTCGGACCGGGGGGGACAGTACTAAGAGCCAATCAGGATTTGCTGACAGGGAATATGCCGGTAGATGTAGAGAGCAGACAACCCTAGACTAAAATGAGCAGTTAACCCTTGCAGCTCAGGGGTAGCCCCACTGCAAGGGTTAATCAGGAATTGCCCTGGAGTTCTGCTTTAATACAATGTTTAAATTGAATATATTATAACACAACTGACCTTCAGTTCATGCGGGTGAGACGTGTACGCCCTGACCTTGCGCACCACTTGTGTCCCTCGAAGGACCAGAGACATTTGCGTAAGCTGGCCAGTTACACAGCCGAGGTCCACTCTTTTCAGGGAATGGACGTAGATCTGCCAGATTTGGATTGGAGCAGCCAGCCATCGGTCCCTGAGTTCGTATAAGGAGATAAAATAATCACATATAAAAGGTCCAAATATTAGTTTTTCCATATATTATATAATAACGTCAACTACAGGCAACTTGAGTGATTTGAGGCTTCTATACATAATCATTATAATGTAAATCAATATAGACTTCTGTTCAGTAAAGTGATGGAAATGGGTTCCACGTTGGTCTTCTTGGCTAGCAGGTCTGAGTGACGGGAAATTATGTTTTATGAATTTGCGACATATAAAGATAAAATGTATCTAATATAAAATTAAAGGAGAACTATGGGGTGAGTGATTTACACTGATCCTCATAGATAGAGCCGACGTGTGACAATGAAACTGTCACAGGTCGGCTCTATAGATCGAGAAATGAATGAACACATACCGTCGCTTGCTCACTTCCCGATCATCTCCCTGCAGAGAGCGGTGACCGCTCCCAGCAGGGATTCCCCCCTCCCCCGGACTTGGGCCCTGGTGCAGCTGCACCAGCGGTAGTTCCGCCCCCTGCCTCTCCGATCCTCCAGCGCTGACTGGGCACAGCTGGCTCTGCCTCTAAATAGGCAGAGCACGCTGTCAATGAGCCAGCTAGGTGGATCTCAACAGTGTTGGGATCCTTCCCAGCTGCAGCGCTCTCAGTATATATTATTATTATTCAGGATTTATATAGCGCCAACAGTTTGCGCAGCGCTTTACAATATAAGTAAGACATTACAATCACAATACAATTCAAGACAAGATGGTAAGGAGGGCCCTGCCCCTGAGGGCTTACATTCTAAAAGGGAGGAGGAAGTGATACATGAGGAGGCAGCCGTGTGGGGATGAATTGTATGAGAATGTGATAGTTCAGTAGTTAGTTTGAGGTGGGATAGGCTTCACTGAAGAGATGAATCTTAAGGGATCGCCTAAAGGCAGTTGGAGTGGGAGATAGTTGGACAGGTTGGGGTAAAGAGTTCCATAGGATGGGAGAGACTCAAGTGAAGTCCTGGAGGCGAGCATGGGAGGAGTTGACGAGTCATAGCTCGCTATATACTGAGCTTTGAGTCACAGGAGGAGCTTAGTAAATGTCCTCCAGGGACACTAAAGAGAACTATTGGATAAAAAGGTTACCTCATAGTTCTCTTTTAAGTATACATAGAACATTAATCACATCCAGTTGGGCCTAGATAAGCTGCTGCCGATTTGACAAAGATGGTGACCTGCTGCATTTGAGCTGCTTGCGCACCATCATGCAGAAGAAAAGGCAAACAGCGGGAGGAGTTTCTCAATAACAGGAGTGACGGCATAAAAAGCCATATCCTGCTGGATGTGATACTTTTTCATTTTCAAGACGTTAAAGAGGCGATGCGAAGTCTACAAGTTGCTATCCCCTTTAGAACTACTATGGTGCTTGCTTCGACTCACCTTGACTCTAGAATTTTTCGGGAGACCTGTCAAGCGATTGCTATATAACTTCTGAGCACTAACAAAATGAGACAATTAACCATGTAACGCAGGCTGTTTATCTTCGTAGCAAACCCTGAGGCTGCCATAAAACAGGACACTTGCACACTGACACTTTTACTGGCTCTTTTATAAACGTGTTTCAGGCTGAATTTGCGGCACTATAAAATGCGTTACAATGAAAGGGGAGACAGCACATTACTTTTGTGAGACTTTGCCCAAGATATCCCTATTTAATGGAAATTGGATGCAGACAATAAAAAAAAAATATATGAATATGCCGTGCGCTGGGAAAAATACAGAGGCAGGCCTTGAAATATCAATAAATTCATTTGTAAGCTGAAAATATTTAGCGGTCACAGAAATAAATATGGCCACCACTATAGATCAATAGGAAGGGTGCGCATAGGGACGGCCACCATCAGGATCAGGAATACAGTGTTACAGATGAGATTAGTATTCAGAGTGTACAGAAAATAAGGGTGTCTTTAGGGCTACAGAAAAGAACTTTAAGGGATCATTCACACGGTCGTGAAGGTTCGCTTGTGCGTGTGACCGTATGTAATTGCGTGCAGCCGCGTCCTCCCATAGGGAATTACAAAAATGGGTCTTTTTTAGGGCTGGAGCTAACGATTATTTTCATAATCGATTAATTGCCCGATTATTTTTTCAACGAATCGATTGGTTGCATAAAAAAAAAACCTCTTCTCTCTTTCCCCCAACCAACTAACCAATAATGAGAATAGTTGCCAACTAATCTCATAATCAATTGTTATTGACTTATTCGATTAGTTGTTGCAGCCCTAGTCTTTTTATGGGCGTGCACACCATACAGATACGCCCATCTTAATGAGCCCTAAAGGTTCATATAGAGGTTTTCTTTTCTTACTTGAATCTTAAAAAGTGTCAACAAAATCCATTAAAAAAAAAAAGTTATTTTTAATAAAATAAATAAGTATTGCATAAAAATATCTAACATCTATAACTCTACGGCCAACAGATCCAAACAAAAGCCTAATAGCAGCGTGACAGCAGCAAGCAGAGATAGGACCTCATCTTTTCTTCTGCTGCTCCTTCACGGTCCAATTACAAGCTGGGGTCAGGTCAACAACACAGCTGTGCTGACTGGCTGGAGTGTGCAAATCTCAGGACTGGAGAGACAGAAATCCAAATTCGTTTGGCAGGTAAAACCGGTCTCCCTATGTGTATTTTACCTAAATTTATCTTTTATCTTTTTTTTTTCTGCTGTCTGGTGTTCAGAAAACAGATTTGCTGTAAAAGAGCAGGGGAGATCAGACTACAAACAGCTAAATTATTCACAGAAAAGAAACCCCCCTCCGCTGCCTTTTCTTTCCTAGCAGATGCAGGACCATGTTAACTTGTCAACTTTTCAGTCAACTTTCTTATTAGCAAAACTATGGGTTTCATTTGTAACTGAGAGCAGATATCACCATCTGCTCTCTGTTCCATTCCACTGCACTATGCACATTACGGACTGCAGTTATAAAATATTGACTGCAATGTATATAGCCTGTAACTTTAACTGGTCACATGACTGGGCCCTCCCCCCAGTTTTTTTCTCTCTTCTTAATGTGACTCAAACGTCACTCTTTCTTATTGCACTCCGCCAGTAAAAAGCACATTTGTTAAGCACATTGGGTGGAATTTATCAAAACTGGAGCAGTTGTGCATGGCAACCAATACGCTTCTCTCTTCAGTTTGTTCAGTTAAGATTTGACAATGAAAGAGAGAAGCTGATTGGTTGCCCTGCACAACTGCTCCAGGTTTAGATAAATTCCCTTCATAATTTTTTTTTTAAAGCAGCATTATGGCGGCAGTACATGCATACTGCTACTTAACAAATACCCCTAAGTGTCAGTGATGATGCTTCTGGTATCAAATTTTTTTTGTAAAATACACATTTAAAAATATCAATTAAAATTATTTAAAAATAATTTTAAAGGCTTGTACAGATAAAAAAAAAATTGTTTTAATTTGACCAAAAGCCTGGCCAAAAAAAAGTCTTTAAAGGGAACACACACTGCTTGACCAAAAAAAAGTTAACCCCTGGATTTAGCTAAGGAGATAGGTCAGAGCCTTCCATTGGATAATAGGTCTCAGCAATGTTATGTGCCCAAATAATGAGGTCAGCTGTTACCTGGATATACAGAATGACCAGGTTTTTAAAAATATTTTGTTATTTTGTTTTTGACTGCCTTTAGCTTTGATTACGGCAAATCTTCGTCTTGGCATTGTTTCGATAATCCAATGTCACAACATTTATTTCCATCCAGAGTTGCATTAATTTTTCCCCAAGATCTTGTCGTGATGATGGGAGAGTCGGAGCACTGTGTAAAGTCTTCTCCAGACATCCCAAAGATTCTCAATGGGGTTAAGGTCTGGACTCTGTGGTGGCCAATCCATGTGTGACAATGATGTCTCATGCTCCCTGAACCTCTCTCTCACAATCTGAGCCCGATGAATCCTGGCATTGTCATCTTGGAATATGCCCAATGTGTCATCACGGAAGAAAAAAATCTATTGCTGGAAAAACCTTTCAGTATATTTAGGTATCAGCTGACCACGTTTTTTGGGCACATAACATTGCTGAGCCTAGACCTATTGTCCAATTGAAGGCTCTGACCTATCTCCTTAGCTAAATCCAGGAGGTGACTTTTTTTGGCCAGGCAGTGTATGTTCCCGTTAAAGAAAAGGATGCTAGGTGCAAGCACTGCGGGTCCCTCAGATTAGCAGGTGATGTTAGTTTCTCAACAATTTTTGTCCAGAAATGTTTACTTGAAGTTCTCCATTTCTCTTTACTTTTCCCTGCAAACTCTATTTAATGGCCAGTTATTCCACGTCTAAGTGTTAAAGTTATCATTTGGGCTATTTTCTCTGTTGTGTCCTGCAGTCTGTTATTTTCAGAAGTGCTTTGTGTCCTGAACGGATTTCTAAATATCAACCTTTACTTTAAGTAGAAACATAAAAGTTTACAAGGGCAACACAAAACAAGAAAGTAGTAAAACCTATGATCCAGACAAAAGGTCAACCTAGTTATCTACTTTTAAACTCTGAAAGCTGTGCCAAGAAAAGTCAGAGAGAGAACAAAGGACGAGTCACCAGTATTGCCTGTGATCTCCCTGCAGTTGATCTTTCCCTATTACTGACCAACCAGATGTTGTTCCGCACTGTGCCTCTGTACAGAGGTGGCCATCTTGGAAGAGGCAAGGCTTTTCTTCCTCATGTCAGAGCTTTCGGCCAACTCAAAGAGTGCCACAGTAGGGAAATCACCAAATCTCACGAGACTAACAGCTGGGAACAGCGGTGCCTTAGATGATCCCACACTGCAGATATATAGCTATGAAGCTGTTTCAGCAACAATGCCTAGACCCCCTCACATACCAGAAAGGGCACTGCAATTTTTCAGGAGGAATTCCAGACAAACGATATGTTTTTCAGGATACTCCTTAGCCACAATAAATGCTTCTAGATGTTGCCTGTAACATAGAAAATCTATACTCTTTGAGTTCTGGTCCACACTTAAGGTTAGTCCATCCCAAAATAAATATATAAGTTACAGGTGGTTGCTGGTGAGCTGGATTGGAAACTCTGTCAGGGGTTTAGCAGGGAAATGGTCCTAATACAATTCCAAGAGCTGCAGCAGGAGGGTGGTGCAGTGAACTCAAGTAGAGAAACCTCAGTGTTTAGGTTCCTGGGCCATTCAAACGAGGAGCAGGATCACCTGAGGTATCAAGTCTTGGAAAAGAACAATAAACCAAAATAAGTACAATATTTAGCAGCTTTTATGTTTATTCAAAACTCCACTCTCTTTAATCCTCAAAACCACGGAACCTTGGCAATGCTGGAGGTGTTCATCACTTGGTAATGATATAGCTCATTCCCTACTCAGTGGATAAACTCACTGGTTTTCCTGGAGTCTGCACATTTTCTTGTCAAACCCCTCTAGGTTGGCACTGCTAACCCTTACTGACTGATGATGGTGTGGAGATGGAGATTTCTTCAGGAGTAATGACACTAAATGACATCAGTCAGCGGTTAGGCAGCTATAACAGCAGTAAAATCTGCCCCACCAGTGGCTATTAGAATGCAGTCCATAATGACTTCACCAGGTGAGTATTGGATTTGTCTGGTATAATAATGAACTCATTATGTACAAAATGGTTTAAGAGTCCATTTACCACTTTACCATAAGTGGCCCCTTATAAAGTAAGCCCTCGCTCAAAGACAGCACCATCTCCCTTCTATTGGGTGACTTCCTCGCAGGATCCATTGGAGATAGTTCTTTAAAGGTTCACAGGGGGATAAGTAATTAGAACCTCCATCCCTGTGATGTAAATTACCTAATTAAAAAGTAGTATATTTTCTTATTAGATGTTTTTCCCAATGAGGAAGTATAGTACTTCCATATAATGGTAGTGATGTCCCACAGGAGTCACGCTGATTATAGCCTCCTGCACCCTCCCACTGATCATGTCCTTGTGTTCTCCAGGGCAAGTAACTCCAGCAGATGCCTACCTCAAAAACATGGAAATCTGTAGTCATGCAGTCTCAAATTATTTCCCCTCTGAATCCCAAAAACAAGCAGTGGTTACATAAAAAGTGTGAGAATTATCAATAGCACTTAGGATGACTTACGTATAAATAACAATAAAGAACTTCTTAATCTGCGGGCTGGGCCCTCCAGCAACTTTCACAAACACATCTTGGGGTTCTCCATGACCCTAGAAAATTAGAAGAAAGAAAAACAGAATGACCTTGACGCAAATTGTCCTTTTTGGCTGCATGCATTGCAGCCAATTGTTAACATCTGTACTGCCCAATAGCCATTAAAAGCACATAAATCTGGTGGAGATGCCACTTCTGGAGTCTCCAGCAAAGAAGCCAGCATGTGATCAGTTTTGGGTTGATTTGGCCATTAGAGGACAGTTGTTATTTGTATCACCTGTTGATCACAATAGACTTCCATAGAGCTGTCTCCAATACAGGAAACACATGGGATTGAGCCCCAAAGATGTGAATGGGGATCAACTGTGCAAGGTAGGCAAAACATTTCAGGCAGCTACATATCTGGGGCAGGGGTGGCGAAATGGACAACTCTACTTTAAAGAACAACTGTGATTGACTCTTACAATGGGGCTTCCTCTGCACTGCAAGGGTTAATTGCTCGTTTTTGCCTAGAGTCAAAAATAACAAAGTTATACTCACCCGAACCACTGAGCTGGCTGGCTGTGACAGTGCTCCATCCTGCCTGTCCCATCCTCCTCTGCAGTGACAGAATGTGATGTCTCAGGGACCTTAGACCCCTGCAGTAGAGGGGGAGAGAGACTCCAGGGACCGATCTAAGAGCATGCCAGCTCAGGGGATCGGGTGAGTATAACTTTTTTTATTATTGACCCTAGGCAAAAACAAAAACTAAACCCTTGTAGTGGGAGGTAGCCCCACTGCAAGGGTTAATAACATTTTTACCCGGAGGTCTGCTTTAAAGCTCAACTGATTCAGTTAAATCAGCTGAATACATTCCAGGTGAATAGATCTGTTAGTTCGACTTAAGGCAAAATGGCTGTCCACAAAATTGCCGCTTCTCCCTATATGAAGCAGGCTCGCTACCATTTCCAAGGACCCTTCCAAGGTTAACCATTGAAAATGCATTCATTGATTAAAATACAGATTTGTTACATCATCACGGCATACAAAGTAGCACAAACATTTACAATTTGTTCTGCATAACAAAGAAATCGTATTCATTTATAACCGGTGAAATAAAACCATTGCTGGGATCAGCGCTCAGCCACCCGGCGTGTGATTGTGATGCTGATTGGAAGTGTAGTTAGAAGATTAGGACAAGCTACAAGATAAAATGGTGTAATTATTCCAGGTGTCACCATGCATTGTGTCAGCAACCGTTCTCTGCAGACAAGTGACTAAATGATTCGCCCGGACTTCCATGGAAAAAATGTCAGAAGAAATATAACCTGTAATTCACACAGAGCAACCGCGAGTGAAATTTAAAGGGATGGCTCCAGCAAAAAAGAAATGAAACCACTCTCAGATCATTATCCTGATGAGGCAAAGCAAAGATGAAGACGATACCTTGAGATATGTTCCTTGAGAACAAGTCATCATTGACCATTCCCATTTTCCCATATGTCTATCTAGACAGGTTGCCTTGAAGCTGAATTCCAGGCAAACAGCTAAAAATACCATTGAAATGTACAAATCTGAACTAACGTCTGCAAAGGATTTGTGATTCTGTACAGTCGCTTTTGAAATTCATACACCTATGTGAGACAGCACAGCCACGAGGGTGACAACACTTTATCTGCCAAAGTCTAATTGATATCTTACACCTTTATTCCTCTTTGTCTGGTACTGCTGTATGTTATGAACTGTTGGTGGATTTATTGAAGTGCCTTTAGATAATTTTTACACTTCCAGTCTTTCTGCTCCTCACCAGTGGAGAATATGTTCAGTATATTCACATCACTGCTTGTGACATATGCTAGCGATGCAGAACTACAGCACCCAGCATCCTCTGCGTTATGAGGGCATGGCTTTAGTTGGGCTGATTATAGTGCTCTCACCTCTTTCTTTTCACTTTTCCTCCAAATCATTGGATTCAGGTGTTCCATGAAACTTCCTTGCTACTAAATATTCCACGTTCACCTGTTAGTGGTATTATAACAAAGTGGAAGCAACTGGGAACAACAGCAACTCAGCCACGAAGTGGTAGGCCACGTAAAATGACAGAGCGGGGTCAGCACATGCTGAAGCGCACAGTGCGCAGAAGTCGCCAACTGTCAGAAGTCCATAGCTACAGACCTCCGAACTTCGTGTGGCCTTCAGATTGGCACAACAACAGTGCGTAGAGAGCTTCATGGAATGGGTTTCCATGGCCGAGCAGCTGCATCCAAGCCTTACATCACCAAGTGCAATGCAAAGCGTCGGATGCAGCGGTGTAAAGCACGCCGCCACTGGACTCTAGAGAAGTGGAGACGTGTTCTCTGGAGTGACCAATCACGCTTCTCTGTCTGGCAATCCGATGGACGTGTCTGGGTTTGTCGGTTGCCAGGAGAACGGTACTTGCCTGACTGCATTGTGCCAAGTGTAAAGTTTGGTGGAGGGGGGATTATGGGGTGGGGTTGTTTTTCAGGGGTTGGGCTTGGCCCCTTAGTTCCAGTGAAGGGAACTCTTAAGGCATCAGCATACCAAGACATTTTGGACAATTTCATGCTCCCAACTTTGTGGGAACAGTTTGTGGATGGCCCCTTCCTGTTCCAACATGACTGCGCACCAGTGCACAAAGCAAGGTCCATAAAGACATGGATGAGCGAGTTTGGGGTGGAGGAACTTGACTGGCCTGCACAGAGTCCTGACCTCAACCCGATAGAACACCTTTAGGATGAATTAGAGCGGAGACTGCGAGCCCGGCCTTCTCGTCTAACATTAGTACCTGACCTCACAAATGCGCTTCTGGAAGAATGGTCAAACATTGTCATAGACACACTTCTAAACCTTGTGGGCGCCTTCCAAGAAAAGTTGAAGCGGTTATAGATGCAAAGGGCAGGCCAACTCAATATTGAACCCTACGGACTAAGACTGGGATGCCATTAAAGTTCATGTGCATGTAAAGGCAGGTGTCCCAATATTTTTAGTAATATAGCATATATATATATATATATAATTTATGTTATTGAATATTCTATTTAATTTTGCCTTGCTAAGCCTTTTTTAAGTTTGGGGTGTGTAGCATACACTTGTTGCTGATCAGTTATTGTAGCTGCCCTTTCTACACAGCATGTTGCTGCATTGCTGTGCGGTAACTAGTGTACATCAGAGACACCACACATACCCCCCATCCCCATAGTTTCAGTAAAAGCTAGACATTTCATTCACCTCCCGATAAAATACTACAATAAAAGGGCAGGTCTAAAATCAGGGGCGGAGGTGCTGCACATGGTGGTAGAAAGGGGCGAGCAGGAATTGCAGTACATAGCAGTGGTAGGGCTGCGTGAACTGGAAGTACGGCACGAGTGCCTTTTGTTTCCTACTGGTCATTGACCAATACACAGCACACCCAGCAGATAATTGACTGACTGACAAAACCTTCCTACCTATCTACATCCTCCCAGACGGCTTCTTAGCCCCCTATGTGATAGCAACAGAGTTAAGCGTAAAAAGAAAAAACTTTTTAAAAAAATGAGTCACATAAAATGTTTTTTTTTTTTTTAAATGTTTAAAGTCCCCCCATATACATACACATGCAAACACAAACATGTGTCAGGTGCGCCTACATGACCATTAAGCCGCACATGTTACATGTCACCGCGAATGTCAGAGCGTGAGCAATAATTCTAGGGAGCTCAATCCCTGATCACGCTAAACTGAGTGGTAACATTTTTTAAAGCGTTGCCTATGGACAATTTTGGGTATAGCAGTTTTTTTTCAATTTCGCGGGCGCACGCAATTTTAAGGCTTGAAATGTTTTGTGTCTATTTACCCGACGTGACCCCATCTTTTATATTTATAAATGTCTAATTACATAATGTAGGAAAAACTGTTATGTTTTTTAAAATCTTCTGTCATTTTTTCTTCATTTAGTAAAAAATAAAAACCCCTGTGGTGATTAAATACCACCAAAAGAAAGCTCTATTTGTCCCCAAAAAAATACATACAATGAATTTCAGTACAGTATTGCATGATGGAATAAATGTGAGTCAAAGTACCACAGTGCTGAATACTGAAAAATGGCTGGGACAAGAAGGCGGTTTCACACCCTGGTACATGTCCCTCATGGCAGTGACTCGCTTCCTATGCCACATTTATTAGCTCCACAAAAGGAATGAATTGAAAATTTTAAAATCTGCCCCCCCCACAGACTTTAGTTGGGTACTGCGAAAAGTTCAGATTTTTACTATCAGAATATTTCCAATGACACTCATTCAGAACACTGAGGACCTATAGTTACCAGTTTCTTTGTATCACAGATAATGTTGGGGTCACTGCAGCGTACAAACAGTTCTGGCTCCCCTCCTGGTGTTCCAACCGGAGCTCCTGGAACAAAAACATTTTAGATTTGCATGTTTCAGTACAACAATCAATACAAACACTGCAATAAAATGACCTGATTACCACCACACCCTTCAGTATATCATTGTGCGACCCTGCTCTTTGCAGAAAAAGGTCCCGGCTGCACCCAGCTCCTATTGCATATGCGTACAGCTTGGCGCTGCATGGCCTTTGCAGGAAAAAGTCTCAGCCAGGCCATGCTAATACCGCACACTCATGAATGGAAGTTCAAGTTGTTAGTCTATGGGCAGGCGGATGTAAATAGATGTGTGTCCATTTACATCTGATTAGATCTGCTGTTTTCCATTTTTTGGCCCTAAACGTGACAGATCGGAGGTAAACAAATATAAAACGACACACAATCCGTTGCCCATAGATTTCACATGGGTCCGTTCAGCTCCGTGGAGTAAAAACATATGCACACGAATGTTATGTTCGACTTAGCAGGGGATCTGTTCATGGATCCCCTGCTGAGTGGAACAGACTCCGTGTGTGAAAGGATCCTACATTTATTTACACTGGTTTAATAAACATCTGCATTATATTTTTTATTATGAGTTGACAAATGGACAAAAATTTACATATTCTGAGTTATTACCTCAATGGCATTAAAAAAACATTCAACCCTTGTTTAAAAAGCGAGGAGACGTCATCTATATACCCATACCTGGAAGGGAATACCATGGTGGTAGCCGGATGGACTTTTTCAAGAACGTCAACTCTGGGTGATAGAATCGGAATGTCTGATCGACAACATGCGGTTGAGGTTCCACATTCACCCGAAGAATGGCAATAGGCTTTTCATCTGATGTCTTAAAGGAGACCTGTTTAGAATGAACACAACCAGCAGTATTACGCAGTCTTCTGTACATCATGTAACTGGCATTTTAACGGCAAAATAAATGCATGAAATCTGCCCTTTTCGGCCACCAATGGAGACAAGCCCCAATGGAGACAAGCCCCAATGGTGGGATCTATGTTCTATCTTTATTTATTTTAGGTTACACAGAATGTAACAGAAGGGGTTGGAACGGATTAGCATATTCCCATTGCACACCATACTGGAATAGACCTTTGTTGTTGCTGTAACATTTGACAACTGGCATAGTATATAATATAAGCAGAATATGTCATCAGCCCACCACAGGAACTTCTTGTAAAGTCCAAAAGTTTATTAGGAGATTATAGCAAAGTGCAAAGTTTCAGAGTCATGCAGAAGCCCATCATCACTATGCCCGGTGAAGGGTTTTTGCATGGCTCTGAAACATTGCACTATGCTGAGTTCTCCCCAAATTTTTTGACTTTAGAACAAGATCCTGTGGTGGGCTGATGACATATTTTGCTTAGGAGAAGCTAGAACACAGAAAGATGGGTGGGGGGATTTCCAAAACTGTCAGGTGAACAGGAGCAGTATCAGGCTTTATGACAGGGACATCCAAGATATATAAATGTCAGGGGTTAACTCAGCCTACATGATTCCACTTATAAGTATAATATCACCTTTGGGTAGACTGGTCCTTTAAGAATAGATTTAGATGCCATCATTTTCAAGCAGAATGATAAAGAAATAAAGCAGGTTTTGTAAAACCACGTATGCTTGGTATATTTATATATAACATCGTTTACTAACCACGTTTCCTTGTGTATATATGTAAAACATCCTTATCCTCAGGAGCGTCACCTTACCTTAATGATTTTGGAAGACATGGTGTTGGACTTGTACTGTGACACTGTGTCCTTATGAGAACTGGAAATGCCAGGACTCTGTATCGGAAGACAAAAGAGTCACTTACACAAAGTGCATATTTCACAAGTAAAATGAGCATTATTTTGTTTTCCCCACTCACTAATTCACTAAATCTGGCAATACACTGAGTTTCTTCCCGTTCAAACCCCTGTCAGCATTATGACAACAGCATACCAAATCAGTGACTGCAGCTGATTGACTGCAGTTTTTTCTAACAGGGTGAGGGATCCCAACGCGTTGGGGGAGGCCGATGGGGCCATACACTGGTTCAAACTTCAGCAGGACCCAACTGAAATTCAACCAGTGCATAGCAAGCTTTACACACAAAGGCTAAATATATTTGTTACAATTGTATTTTTTCAGCCCAGGTGATGGCAATACATGGTGCAATTTCAGTGAGTAGGGGGGAGGCTAAAGAAAGGCCATACACAGAATCCAAATAGGGGCTTTTTGTTTGATGTCATGGTACACTGTAATCAGCCATTTCAGACTGAGAAAGGGCTGACTGCCATGTCCCCAAAATGTGATGGCTCCATTTGGTTTCCTTTTTCAGGCTTGTTTTTCCTTTATTTTCACCTGGTGGTCCTGCCAGTAACACACGTCCTGTCCTAGGGTGACAACACTTGCTCAGTACTCTAAAGAGGAGCAGCATTGTCAACCTAGGGCAAGTGTGTTAGCATTACAGAAAATCTCCAACTCCATATCATAGAGGAAGGGTTCTATAGTTCAGAGATGAACTGGACAGGATGGATAGCACTGCTTGAGATGACACTCTAAAGTGCAGACAAACCCACAGGCTTATACCTCCCCCTGTTGTCATCTCCATAAAATGGCGGGAGATATTCTGTATTCCTAGCATACTCCCTGATAACAATCCTTCAAACTACATGACATCTGTAGGAGCCCAAACTATAGTCACAGATATTGGTTGCAGGCTAGCACAATGACAGGACCTTGGAATGATAATCCAATGGGGATAAGACATTGCCTGGATGCAGGAGCTCCTATGATATAAGCCCATGACCAATATCTGTGACTACAGTTTGGGCTCCTACGGATGTTGTGTTATTACATATGTTGCAACACCTAATTTAAAGGCCCATACAAGCAGAAGAGAAGCTGTTCTACAGTAGATCTCTACGACCAAACCAGTGATTGGGTGACCAAGGACGTGCTCCCAGTGGCAATCACCCAACTCATTCCTTTCCTGAACCATGGAGGAGCGGGACTTCTTCTGTGTGTTTTCCTTACACCTCATTTAAAGGACCACATGTAATATCTTACATGCTGTCATTGTAATTATGAGTGGACACTATGTTATTATATGATATATGACTGTTGATTGTTTGTGTGTACCACTTTAAACTTCTGAATATGATTTTATTCCATGAATAGGTCCTTCTAATGTTCAGGTCTTATTGACTAATGCAAAAGTGTATTGGAGACTGCTGGTTGACAGCGTTGTTATCATCTTTTAATACACTCAGTGGTATATTTATAGATGGGAATTTACATCTAAGCTTTTAGTAATACACAAATCAATATAGTATTATTGGCAATATTCCCTTCCACCATTCCGTCCTTTTGTTTCTGCGTATGTTGCTGGGATCAGAATTGTTGCCATGCCATCATTATATATATATATATA